TCCGCTCGGCCTCCCGCGCGCGCGCGGCCTCCCCGTCGCCGCGCGCCCCGCGCGCGGCGCCCCTCCACCGCCCGTCCCCGGCCGGCTACCTCTTCAACCGCGCCGCTGCCTACGCCACCTCCGCGGCCGCCGCCGAGGCCCCCGCCGAGAAGCTGCCCCCGACCTCCGACAAGTACGTCGGCGCCAAGATCACCGACGAGTTCACCGGCGCCGGCTCCATCGGCCAGGTCTGCCAGGTCATCGGCGCCGTCGTCGACGTGCGCTTCGACGAGGGCCTCCCGCCCATCCTCACCGCGCTCGAGGTGCTCGACAACAGCATCCGCCTCGTCCTCGAGGTGGCCCAGCATCTCGGCGAGAACGTCGTGCGCACCATCGCCATGGACGGGACCGAGGGGCTCGTCCGCGGCCAGAAAGTCCTCAACACCGGATCCCCCATCACTGTAATCATCGCATCTCCCTTTCCTCTCGCCGTTTCCGCATGTGCATTTCCTGCCGTGCTCGATCTGATGAAATGTAGATCTGGCGGGGTTAGATTTGATCTGGATGCACGAATCCGACTGGCACGTGTCGGATGTACATCTCCTTTATCTTTCATCATTACCAATATGCGGATTGCTTGATTGATTGTTGCGTTCCGTAGGATCTGTATAAATTGTCAAACATTGATATTTGTATACGTATTATTCACAAGTTCTGACTGCTATGGTTGGGTGTTGGTAGTCTGCTGTTCGATTATCAAACCTTTGAAGTTAATTTTGATCATATGTGCATCTGTCTGAAGGGGAGCCTTGGCGCAGTGGTAAAGCTGCTGCCTTGTGACCATGAGGTCATGGGTTCAAGTCCTGGAAACAGCCTCTTACAGAAATGTAGGGAAAGGCTGCGTACTATAGACCCAAAGTGGTCGGACCCTTCCCTGGACCCTGCGCAAGCGGGAGCTACATAGGCCTGCAGCCACCGGTTGTTCAATTAAGTCTTAAGTCTGTTTGTTTCAGTTATTTATATGAAGTGTTGCTTAGTGAATACTAGAAACTTGGGTTTTGGTGTCCTTAGTGGGATCAATTTACAGTCTGCTGCAAGAGCCTCTGCTTGCATATGATGTATACATGTACACTGGTGGTGCTCTTTTTGGAAGTTGAATCATACTCACCTGCAGTGTGCTTCATTTGTTTGACTTGGAAGTTGTTTCTCTTTCTCAGGTTCCTGTTGGGAGGGCCACCCTTGGACGTATCATTAATGTTATTGGTGAGCCGATTGACCACAAGGGTGACATAAGTAAGTGACATTCTCTATGCGAGTTCCTTCATGTACCTATTTATGGAGGAGTTGTGTACTAATGTCTTTTTATCATTGTTATTCTATCTTGTAGAGACACACGACTTCCTTCCTATTCATCGTGAGGCCCCTGCTTTTGTTGAGCAAGCCACAGAGCAGCAAATTCTTGTTACTGGAATTAAGGTATAACATTTCACTATTACCTTGACTATCTTAGGATATTTCATGTAACCATTGAATGCAGCGTGAGCATATGTGCCATAATGTAACAAATGTTAATCATAGTGTGATGGTTCTGTATCTGACAGGTCGTGGATTTGCTTGCACCTTACCAAAGGGGTGGGAAAATTGGTCTCTTCGGTGGTGCAGGAGTGGGTAAAACTGTTCTTATTATGGAGTTGATCAACAATGTTGCCAAGGCCCACGGTTGGTATTCTACAGAGTTGTATTGTTTACATTGTGTAGCTGCTTCTTATGGTTTGCTGATTGTACCCGGCTTATTTGTTTTCCTCAGGTGGTTTCTCTGTTTTCGCTGGTGTTGGAGAACGTACCCGTGAAGGTAATGACTTGTATAGGGAAATGATTGAAAGTGGTGTCATTAAGCTAGATGAGAAACAGGTAATTGTTATGGAGTTTGAAATTTTAGCTCTGAAGCTCATATATGCAAGCTATCTTTACTTATAAAATGATTTCTGTGGCAGGCTGAAAGCAAGTGTGCTCTTGTCTACGGCCAAATGAACGAGCCCCCGGGTGCTCGTGCTCGTGTTGGTCTGACTGGTTTGACTGTTGCTGAACATTTCCGTGATGCTGAAGGACAAGATGTGCTCTTGTTTATTGACAACATTTTCCGTTTCACCCAGGTAAATTCTGCAGGGCGTTTCTTGTACTGACACCTCTGTTTCTGTGCTCCATATTGTGTTGTTGGACAATATTTCTCTTTTCTAACCTGCTGTTACCATTGCTATCAAGTCTTTATAGTTCTATTTTTTATTACTCTTAATGGCAGGCAAACTCTGAGGTGTCTGCTCTCCTTGGACGTATTCCATCTGCTGTGGGATACCAACCAACTCTTGCCACCGATCTTGGAGGACTGCAAGAGCGGATTACGACGACAAAGAAGGGTTCTATTACATCTGTCCAGGCTATTTATGTGCCTGCTGATGATTTGACAGATCCTGCTCCTGCTACCACCTTCGCCCATCTTGACGCTACTACTGTGTTGTCACGACAGGTTTGTCCATCGTCCTACGTACATAATCATTATGCAACGCACACACAATATGCTCATCATGACTGTAATGATCTACTTGTGCAGATTTCTGAGCTGGGCATTTACCCTGCTGTCGATCCTTTGGACTCGACATCAAGAATGCTTTCTCCCCACGTTCTGGGTGTGGATCACTACAACACTGCCCGTGGTGTCCAGAAGGTTCTTCAGAACTACAAGAATCTTCAGGATATCATTGCCATTTTGGGTATGGATGAGCTCAGTGAGGATGATAAGATGACGGTTGCTCGCGCAAGGAAGATCCAGAAGTTCCTGAGCCAGCCTTTCCATGTTGCCGAAGTTTTCACTGGTGCTCCAGGGAAGTATGTGGATCTAAAGGAGGGCGTCCAAAGTTTCCAGGTGAGAATTGAACCATAGTAGTTCTTTTTAGAACAGTAAGTAATGCCATTATTTTAGAAGTGTCCGCTCATGAAAATTAGTCGGTATTTGCCATATGCTTGCAAACCTGTGGGCAGCCCATGCAGCATGAACACTGCACAAAACTTATTATGTTTCTGTTGCTTATGATCCATCTTACTGGACACTCTTTTGTGTGCAGTTGCTTGTTTAAGAGTAACTGTTTCTCATATGACTGCTCGGTTATATTGTGCGCGCTTTGCTGACATGGCTGGTGAATCGTGCAGGGTGTTTTGGACGGCAAGTACGACGACATCTCGGAGCACGCGTTCTACATGGTTGGAGGCATCGACGAAGTCATCGCCAAGGCGGAGAAGATCGCCAACGAGAACGCTTGATGGCGAGGTGTCACCGCCGCCCTGTACAAGTTAAATTTTTTGGGTTTTCAGCTGTTCGCCCGAGACTTGCTCACGAGCAGGAGTGTGCCAGCTCCTGCTGAGGGATCCTTGTTTTTGTTCGTTTTTACTCCAATTTACCCGTAATAAGCAACTGCAGTGACATTGGTTTAGTCTGCACAACAGCAACACTACTCTTGGCTTTGGAAAAAAAACTTGTGCCCTTTGTAATGCAGATCCGACAGATCATGAATTGGTTTAGTTTATTGTTGTTGGCGAAGTTGTCTGTGTTCAGATTTTTAAAATGGCCTTGTTTTATACGTCGTGTCTTGTTTGGTTTCTCTGCCAACATAGATGCAAAAAATATAATCAACGCAAGCAATGTCAAATATCGCATCGTGTGTGCCACTATGGGTGTCCTGTTTCTTTCTTTTTGATGGTTCCTTTTGATGATAACATAGAAATATCATCGCAAGCAATGTCAAACATCGCATCTGTGTGTGTCCCACACTTGTTTAAGTACTGTTGTTACTGTGGTTTCTTCGTAAGTTTTAGTTATGTAGATTCTTGGGAAAGCTGATCTTGAATGAATGGTTTGCTCAACGGAAGTACTCTGCATATGCATGCTTTGCTTTGTACTCTGCATATGCATGCTTTGCTTTGTAGTCTCGGCCTCCGTGGGGCTGATTTTTTGAAAAATCGAAATTTGAAAATTTTGGTTTCAAAAAGTCTGAAAATTTGTATTGAGTAAACAAGGATGTGAGGCGTATGTGCGTAAAGTTATTCAAGATAAAATACGTTGAAACGTGACATGTACAATAAAAGATAAATTTATGGTCTTAGAGGATGGGTAGTATCATGTGTTGAAAGCCCTAGATTTGTCTTTTTTGCACAACCTATTTTGTCTTGAAAATTTACACGCTTGTACACTATGCCTTCATCTATCTATACTTTTTTCAGAATTTTTGAAATGTAAAATTCTGAATATTCATGAAATTTTAATTTTATATTTCGGTGCCTCCATGGAGCTCGACCTCCAAAAGCAATTTCCACGTGCTTAGCATGTTTTCTGTAGACAAACATGACCACGTTACCAAAAACTAAAAATAAAAATGGACGTGTCGTTTTTTTACGGAAAGGCCTTTACGGTTAGTTTTATTACACTCAAATCTATACTACTATTAAAGAAAATATGTATTTTTGATTTGGTTTGGTCCTTTTCATTGATTTTCGCTTGGTATAAGCGCATTTTAATGTTTCGTACGGTTTGCTCATACACACGGTAAGCCATCTGGGCCAGGTACTCGTACGTTGATGGGCCTTCTATGACCTTTCATAAAGACCGCGAAAAATAATTAGGTCAAAATAAATCTAATATAGTGAGAATTGAATGCAGTACCTCGTGTCTCGCTCTTTGATGTAACAACCAATGAACTATGCATCTTTCATGTTTACTAGTCCTGCTTGGCTCTTTTACAATGGTTCCCACCAGTCCTGGCCATGGGCAGCCCGACCTGAACGGCCCGGTCCGACCTGACACGAAACCGCCTGACCCGGCCTGGCCCGACGCTGCTCTGGAACGGGCCTGGGCCTAGGTTTTGAGCCCGAAGGCCGGACCGGGCCCGGGCCCGTTGTTTTTGTGTTTTACTGAAGAGGCGTGGCCCGAGGCTCGGCAGGCCGGGCTTGGGCCTGAAAAGTAGGCCCAATGGCCGGGCTGGGCTCAGGCTTGAGTTTTCTACCTCGGGCTTGGTCAGGCCCGGCCCGAAGCCCAGCCCGGCAAATGACGAGGTATAGTTCCCACCAGTAAATATACAAAGCGGCCTTAGGAAACCAACAGACAGTTAAAGAAGCGGTCTCAGGAAGGATTATGGGCTTAAATAGGATATTTAAATGAATATGGCTAATTAAAGAAAGGATTGTGGGTAACCGGTGGAATAATTAAAGAACGATTGTGGGCTTAATAAATAGAATATTCAAATAGATTGGGCTAATTAAAGGAAGGATTTGAGGTAAAAAAGGTAGGATAATTAAAAGAAAGGATCCACATTCTTCATTGTGTGGGGCTACTAAATTAGAAAATGAAGGATTTGATTCCTGACTGAAAGGGGCCATGACGTCATGGCAATTAAAGGGATGATTATACTTAAAAAAATTAGTGGGAGATTATGTTGAAGATATGACCTAGAGGTAATCATGTATGATGATATTTCCTTGTGTTTATGAATAAAGATAGTCCTTGGACATTATCAATGATGTATATCGGCAAGTACGTGACTTGTTTGTGGGACTATGCATTGTATGATTACTGTCTTAAAAGGTCCCTAGTCGAAAGGGATGTGTGGACGCGCGGCCAACTAGACTAGCATATGACACAGTCGACGACTTGGTCTCACTAGCCATGGAGCATTGGATGCTAACCAAATAATATGGACTCAGAAGGATCTGGTCGGATTCGACCTAGTCGGATCCGAGTCGAGATAAGGTCCGAGTAGGACAGACCCAACTATGAGACGCAGCGATATGTCATCTGTGAGTCTCTAGTACAACATACGTTCTATGTCCTAAGACCTGAGCTGACACATGTACTCGGGATGGTGACATACCTGAGCAAGATGGGATTTGCCCCTCTGACCAGGAGAGATATACTCTGGGCCCCTCGTGTGATCCGACCAGGATAAGCATGGCCATGCGACAAGAATTATGAGATAATCCAGTTTGTGGTCGGCATCACTGGAACGAGAAAGAGGTCGGGCTAGCACAAGGATGATAGACTCGCCTTGAGCCCGACAACATATATCGTGTGGCAAAAAGAATGGAAGTGTTATGTACAGGTTCGCTAACCGGCTTCAGTGTTTGCTTGGTGGTCGGCACGCCTTGCTAGAGACCGCTACCAGCCGAGCAGGTCGGAGGTGATCCAACCTGCGACCAAGCCGACTTGAACCTAAGGGGTCGCGCGCTTAAGGAAATGAACCTGTGAGGCTGGATCGGACTCCACGAGTTAGATGTGATCCTACTCGAACTCGGATCCCGGCCGAACAGATTTTGGGCTTTAGGGTCTGTGCGAGGCCCAAGTGTTGAGCCCGTGACGGACGTCTATATAAGGTGGAGCTGCGACACACTCATTGGGTTGATCACTTCAGTGCTGTAGGTTTGCATGTGTTGCGAATAGCCACCTCCACTCGCCGGCGGTTGTGTGATCGAACCTAGCAGTCCGCCACAGGACGTTCCTCCTGCACGCGCGCATACCGTTAGAGGCGGTGCACTTGCGCCGCTCCGGTGAACCTGCACGAGGGATTCGACGACCAGCTGTTCGAGGGAGATCGGACGAGGAGGAGACAAACCACGCGGACGCGCTGCCCCAACTCTTCTTCCGCTGCATGGCACTGCGCGTCTAGTAGTAACGATTTGTGATCCATTCCCGTAGCATGTTCCTGGTTGTTCTGCGCGTAGAAAAATTTTATGTTGCAGACGACGCACCTAACGTAGAACCCAACGGATTATGCCCGCAAAGAAAATATGGACGCGGATAAATTGCATCCTATTATTTATGTTCATTTTGTAAAAGGATGTTGCATTGCAGCATGTTCTTCGTAGTGAATCCAGTGCTACGAGACATTATGCTTGCACAAGACATTAATTTTTCCCGTTGCAATACACGGGCGTATGTGCTAGTAATGTTTACACCATTTGCCAACTTTTGTAGGAATAGAAACCGGAGGTGTATCCACATATGGAAGGGGTGTTTGCATGCCCCCACTCAACTAGCTCATGAGCAACTACATTTGATTCTCTAATACAATGCTCAATAGTAACCTTCCCGAACTCTCATAATAACTCTCTACAATTGTCTAGAACATGAGCCGCCACCGTAGAATGCCCCTCATTTAAGCGTATAGCGTCAACCACAATAGAGTTGTCCGCCCTCACCAGGACATTGTTACAAAAAATAAAATAAAATAGACGTGCTTAGCGAATCTGGCTCTTGCAAAAGAAAAGTTACAAGCATTTTTGGGCCTTTGGTCTGCCCATTAAATTTTTTCGTGGGCCTGACTGAGCATGCAGCAACATCTTTTAATCTTTTACTAGCTTTTCTATGGGATGAAACAATGTTGTGGTGGCATGCGAAAAATTTCTAGGGATGAAACAGTATTTAAAGAGCGGTGTCATGCGAAGTGGTAGGTTATGAGCAGTTTAGACTATTCTGGAAAATAGGGTCAGACCCCTACTTCTAATTATCTGCAAGACCTAATTAACCGCATGTCTAATAATTAATCAATTGTATTAGTGACTCGATAATTGATTCCGCATGAAAAATCTCTATTTAATTGGACTAACTAAATGCACATGTAATTAAGTGCACATGTAATTAATTTTTTTGCTAATTAATTCATTAAGGCTTGATTTCTAAATTGATTCGGCGCTCAATTTACAAATTGTTTTCATATTGGTAGTTGCGTATGAACGACGACGATATACACATTCCCCTTTAGTAATAGAGATGCCGTGTGGTGTGGTCCATGTGAGGTCCATATAAGACTGTGCTTGGGCGTGTGAATGTTGGACAATGCAAGCGAGACAAGCTCACATGCTCAAGTAATCGAACATTTCTATGGTGTTCTCTCAATTAATCTTTTGGTTTTTCGGTACATATGAAAAGCCGAAATTCAAAACGACGTCCTATCAGAAACAAGACACCATAAAGACCATAGAATTTGCTTGGTTCAATTTATTTTTGGCATGGTTTTTGAGCTCAGTTTCAAAATGCACAGAGTGGATGATTTGAGAATGAGAATGCATAGAGTGGGATTTTTTTTTGAGGGAAATGCATAGAGTGGATGGTGAGAGGAGGGAGCTTGACAAGGAGGCGAGCCCAAACCCCAGACGCTGCCTTCTCCCAGTGAAAGCAAAACGGGAAGGCCCAGCACGGATCCTAACGCGAATTCGAAACGAGTGGGGACCAGCAGCACGGTTCCTTCTTCCTCCCCGGAAATCCCGAAAACACAAACGCCAACCCCGTGCCGTGCTCCGCCTCCGCAATCGTCTCCCTCCCCATCCCCAACCCATTTCAAATCAAACCTCCCCCCTCCCCTCCCCTCCTCCGCCGCACCCACCCCCACCCTGATCGCGCCGCCCTCTCCGGCGACGTCTCCGCCGGGCCCCCGTCGACAGCTCCTCCGTCCCGCCGAGTCGCCGCACACTGGTGAGTGAGCTCGTAATCACGGGGGCGGAAATTAAGCCGGGGCAGGCCCTAATTGATTCCCCTCGATTCGGTCCCCTCCTCGCAGGCCGCGGCGCCCTCGCCGGGACCGGGATGAGCGGCGGCGGCCAGCTCCTCCAGATGGAGACGCCGTGCGGCGCCCTCATGCGCGAGCTCCAGGTGCGTTCGCGCGCCCGCTGCCCCTTCGATTACGTGCCGCGGTGGGTGTGATTCGCGGCGGGTCTGATGATCGCCCGTGGCTGGTTGCGTGTGTGTGTGCGTGCGCGCAGGTCATCTGGGACGAGATCGGGGAGCAGGGCGCCGCGAGGGACACGATGCTGCTCGAGCTCCAGCAGGAGTGCCTCGACGCCTACCGGAGGAAGGTGGACCAGGCCAGCCGCTGCCGGGCCCAGCTGCGCCAGGCCATCGCCGACGCCCAGGCCGAGCTCGCAGCCCTCTGCTCCGCCATGGCCGAGTCGCCCCTCCTCGTCAGGCAGGTTGGTTGGTCACTGCTCGACCTGTTGTTCTCTCAAATGACGCAAAGGAACTTGTGTTGATAATACCAAACTGTTGTGCTAATTGTTCACTGTATAAATGAATTTTGGGTCCCTACAATTCTGTTATCCAGTCGATCCTAATTATGTCAGGAACTTAACTCTGTGCCAAGGCAGGTCAGCAACGTTAGAAATTCCTGCCAGGACAGGACAGCCATCTGTTTTTGTTACTTCTGTCATTTCATTTATCTGATGAGAAGGCAGGATATTGAAATAAGAATCCTCTTTCAAATAAATAAATACACGAGTTCTTCCATAGATGGTTGCAAGTATGCCTGGTTGTCAACAATCAGTTGGCTGATGACCTGATGTGTTCAGAATGGTAGTGATTCCAACCAATCCAGGCAGAGGAAAACTGAGGCTCGTGTAAATTCGGTTGCAGTCATACCATTTTGATTCCATCCTAACGAGGCAGATGTTTGCATTAACTGACCAATTCGACTGTAAACACAGTTTCAGAATAATGATGTTGCACGTTCGCTCCACACATATATTGTTAATGCAACTAATTTTAAAGGCTTGGCGCTTCCTATTCGGATTCCACCAATAATGAGTATTTTCCATCATATAATCTTTTCTTCATTCTGAACAGAAAGGATGTGGCTTACGGGAGGAACTGAGTGCAATAGTCCCATATTTGGAAGAGATGAAGAAGAGAAAGGTCGAAAGATGGAATCAGATTCTTGATGTTATAGGCAAGATAAAGAAGATATCATCTGAGATCAGACCTGCAGATTTTGTCCCTTTTAAAGCACCTGTGGATCAATCTGACCTATCCTGCAGAAGGCTAGAAGAGTTAAGAATGGAGCTGCAGTCCCTAGAGAAAGAGAAGGTTCATATTCATGCCTTTTGCCCTTTGTACCCACTGATTACATTTTCTATTTCTCACATATGCTAGCTCTGTCATTTTCTGAATATCTTGCAGAGTGAGCGGCTAAAGCAAGTAATGGATTACCTGAATACTTTGCATTCCTTATGTAAAGTACTTGCCGTTGACTTCAAACAAACAATATCTGATGTACACCCCAGTCTCGATGAGGATGGCGTACCAATGAACATAAGCAACACCACAATTGAGAGGTTGGCGTTGGCAATACAGAGACTACGGGAAACAAAAATTGAAAGGATGCAGAAGGTTAGCATCTTACAGTTTAATCTAGAAAATCATCATATGACTGCTTTCAGCCCTTAACTCTGTTAGCTCTGACAGCTTCAAGATCTCTCATCTACAATGCTCGAACTATGGAATCTTATGGACACGCCGATAGAAGAGCAACAGTCATTCCAGAATATAACATGCAATATTGCTGCATCAGAACCTGAAATAACAGAGGCCAATGCCCTTTCCATTGATGTCATCAACTTTGTGAGTCAATGTGTTGTTTGCAGAACTTGGTTTAATTGTTTTTCTTGGTTAGCTTAGTGGAGATGATATTCTTTGATGCAGGTAGAAGCTGAGGTATTGAGGCTTGAGCAACTGAAAGTCAGTAAAATGAAGGACTTAGTTCTTAAGAAGCAAACAGAACTAGAAGAGCATCGTCGACGGGCGCATTTGGTTGGAGATGAACATTATGCAACTCAGTTCAATATCGAGGCCATTGAAGCAGGTATGTTTCTAGTTTTCTAATATGCTTTCTAGTTTTCTAATATGCTCTGGTGCATCGGGCGGAATAAGGATTTTTTTCCTGTAAATTTCTTTGCTGCAGCATTCAGATACAAACAGATTTGTTTGCTGATACAATTTATTAATGTTGCAATATCCGACGTAATTGGTTTTGTTGTTTCATTGCAGGTGCTATTGATGCCTCACTTCTTCTAGAACAGATCGAGGCATACATCTCAACAGTTAAAGAAGATGCTTTTAGCAGGAAGGATATACTTGAGCGAGTTGAACGGTGGCTAAATGCATGTGAGGAGGAAGCTTGGTTAGAGGATTACAGCAAAGTATGGTTGTGTTTGATTACTTGATCCAGGTATATATCAACTACTACTAATTTCACTATCTACATGTTATGTTAGGATGATAACCGATATAATGCTGGGAGGGGTGCACATATTATGCTCAAGAGAGCTGAAAAAGCCCGTGTTTTGGTTAACAAGATACCAGGTGAAACACCTCTACTACGTATGATTTTCTGCTTGTTATTTTTGAAATACTGCTGCTAATCTGTTTATTGTTGCATGAAGCAGGAATTGTAGACGTTCTTACAAACAAAGTTCTAGCTTGGGAGAAAGAAAGGGGCACTGAGTTTACTTACGATGGTGTATGTATCCGTAATTCCACTTCTATTCTTGTGAGTAAACACAATATCTGTTTCTATACTGTCAAAAGTTCATGCCATTCAACCTTTTCAGGTTAGTCTTTTGTCGATGCTTGATGATTATAGGATAGTTCGTGAAGAAAAGGAGCAGGAAAAGAAGAGGCAAAGGGTATTCATATTTTGCTTAACTTTTTCTGCACTTGCATCTGTGTTCATCTGCGGATGGTATCTGATGGGTGAGCGATTGCAGGATCAGAAGAAGCTTGAGGATCAATTCAAAGCTGAGCAGGAGATGCTGTACGGATCAAAGCCAAGCCCTTCATCAAGGTCGAACAGCGGGAAGAAGGTTACCAGAAACTCCTCGGCTGGTACAAACCGGAGGCTGTCTGTTGGCGGAGGACCAGTGCGAACTCCAAAATCATTGACACCTCAGTCAAGATCCGTCCGTTCAGCCAAGAAGACAGAAGATAGTGGCACTCTGTCCCCTGGCAAGTTCACTTAACCATAGCTGATGCAGTTGTTCAGTTTCTTTACTTTCGAATTAACAGACTATCTCTGATGAAAACAAAAAAAACGCTTTCAGGTAGTAGGGGCAAAGGCACTGCCAGTCCTCCGATCAAGAAGTTATCATTCAAGGCAAGTACCCTTGGTGAGACTGAAACCCCTCGTAAACCCTTCACGCAGATCACACCCGGAAATAGCATCCAATCGACGCCCGTGCGGTCTGCCCCCAGTGGTACCGAAGGCGAGAACCGAACTCCCAAGATACTCGCAGCACCAAGTCCTAGGACGCCGATGACGGTGACCTCTCCCATGCAAATGACCACAACGCCTGCTCTGACTGCCGCAAGAGCTGCACCTGTCTGCGTCTCCAATGACAAGCCGGAGCTGTGTTTGCTAGAGAGCACCGAGTACTCCTTCGAAGAGAGGCGCCTCGCCTATCTCGCTGCGCACGCCGCTTGACTCTCGGGGAATGCCGGGGAATGCAGTGTAGGTAGCTGAAAGTATGTCATCTGGCATGGCAGGGCGTCTCTTGTGAGAGACGGCTTGGCTAAATTGATACAGGCACACATTTTTCTGATCAAAGTCACAGCCATATGTCATGTTTCTGTTAGTTGGTTGGTAACAGATTTACATTGCTGCCTTCTGCTGTAGTTCCGCAGAAGATTTGTTTCAACAGGTCGACGGAGATGCTTAACTCTATGTGTCCGCGTTGCTTGTGATATTAAACCTAGACAATTGAACATAACATTGCTGGCTCCTGGCAGCATTACATTTTTCATGTAGCCGTGGCTGTGCGATAAACAGGCACATGTCGCCTGATTGGCAGGTGAATGCAGAAACCAGTATGTAGTACTAAAGGTTGACATATCCTGCACACTAATTTGTAAAATGAATCATTGGACAATTCAACCCCAGATGCACTCCTGCTCAAAGCCATTGTGCCAATCGCGCCAAGTTACAAGCGTCGAAAAGCACCTAAGTTTCCTCAAGTTAGCATATAGTTTACGCCGCACGTTTACATATTTACGTTGATGATGAAAATTTACAAACAGGTGGAGTGATGATTCATATCCTCTGCTTTCATGCAAACTGACATGAACATATAGACAATAATGTGTTCACCGCTAAATGTTTCGATTCTGATACCCAGCAAGGAAGTGTAACAAGACCGAAGCAGCTCGAGGAGAGCAGCAAAACATCCCGGAGAAGGTGCCTACTGGATCAATATTTGCATGTTCTTCTTGATAACCACTGGAAAAGGAATTTAACATGACAGGGAAGGTAGACAGCAAACAATATAAGAGACAACTAATGCACAGAGAAATATACGAGGATACCACGACTAGCTGACGAACTCGCACGTTGCTGCAACACAGATAAACATCGACGCTTCTGATAAGAGAGTCACTACAGGCCTAAGGAACTTGCACATTGCTGCAATGCAGATGAACATTGCTTCATTGCTCCTGAATTTACAGACCATCCATTCCATGAGGAGACATTATGCCCATATGCCAGGTTTGTCTGATTCAGCATATAGGCAGATTACACGACGAGACAAAAGCAAGACATACAGACTACAATCTCTCTAGAGAATTCCATATATGCATAAGACTGACAAGAGTGACACTACATGTCTAAGGAACACGCGTACATCACGCGGAGTGTTACTTCTGGTTTGAAGCAAGTTTGGCAATGAGCTCGTTCAAAACAGAGGGATAGGTCGTAATTAACGGCTCCCAGCCATCGGTCGCCATTACTTTTTGCAAACACAAGGGAGATTGGACTTGGATAAACTTCAAGCACGCCTCCTTCAATCCGCGGCAGTGGCGCTGCTCAGCTAGAGCAAGAGTGGACGCCACCGAGGTCACACCTATGCGCTCAGACAGTCGCTTTTCACAGATAAACCTGAGCCGCTGGAGATCATGTCTGTCTGCGGCTACAAGCAAGTCTTGTAGCCATTGCAGCTCCGTTTCATCCTCTGCTGCTTCCTCTCCTTGTCCTTGTTCCGCAACTTCTGCCATTTCATCCTCTGCTGCTTCCTCTTCTTGCCCTTCTTCCATGGCCTCTCCTTCGTCCTCCTCCATGTCGTCGTCCTCCAATAGAGGGAGTGAGTCCGTGTAGATGAAGCTAAGCAAAGCCCTGAACACCTTTGCTTCCATGTCTTTTATCTGGATGGCACTTGATGCAGCAGCGCCCTCCTTCATGGGGCCGAAGAATTGTGCCATGAAGACCTTAGAACGGGCTGCAAGCACACATCGGTGTGCAGCGAACATCTCGCCGCTGACCTCAAACGTCACATCAGCACCAACCTTAGTCTGAAGGAGATTGTTTAAATGTTGGTCTATTTCAGACAGGAGCACCTTGTTGCGACCGGCATCCTCCGTGTCGCAGACCATGATGTCACACCGGATGGTGAAACGATCATCCATCAGATTCGCTGACTGTTCAAGGACATCTTTTCTCATGAACTTGCCGTAGCCCCGCAGATACTCGCCGCGGAAGCTGAGTGTCTCGGTTCCAGAAATGTACATCGGCTTCTGCTTCTCTGCCTCGTCGATGAAACTGAATTCGAACTTGGCCTTCACACGCTCTTTGGCATCGTCGTTGAGAAGGTTAACATATAGAGAAATGAAGTCGGCACAGCTCTTCTTCTGACCGTTAGGATAGTACTCGATGCACCACTCATGGCGTCCCACCATGAAAGGGCGAGAGCAGATGCTCATGCCGGTGGGCGTCGCTCGCTTGGTCCGCCAGTAGTCCTGGACCACAAGCAGGTGGTATCCCGCAGTTCGTGCTGGTGACGACGGGCGACTCGGTGGAAGGGCACAGCTCGCCGCCGGCCAGGACGGATACGCCGGCGAACGTCGACGACATGGCGAATCTGCGAGTGGATCCATCGAAAATGTTGGCGTCCCAAAGTTCAGAGTTGACATGGCGAATCTGCGAGTGGATCAACATGGCAAACCTGCTCACGGAGTCGCCGTGCTCAGCTCGTTGCGTCGCCCGCGCCGACGCCGTCGCTTCTCCCCGCAAACAGAGTATGCGCCGCCGACTCGTCTGTGCGCGCGTGCGTCCTGAGCCTGCCTTTTTTTTAGGCAAGGCCTGCCAAGAGTTAGGGTTTTCTTTACCACGTTGATTGGGCTTCTGTTTGAAGGCCCTCACAGCCCACGAGCTGCAAGCCCATACATCATTCACAACACTGATTTGGGCGAACCGAAGCCTGAAACGAATCATGCAGAAATCTGCAGATGCAAAAAATATAATCCAGTTCATTTCAGAAAAATAATATAATCCGGTTTTCATTTACGGAATGCTATATAGCACTTCACTTGAAAAATGCAGATGCAGCTCTTTTTTCTTTTCCTTTTTCAAAATTCACATTTCGAAGTTTCAGTAAGTTTTGTAAAAATAATCGCACATGTTCACATGGATGTATACTACGTATGTGTAAAGTTTGACGATGATATACATTAACGTGAGAGTGTAAGTGCATCTAGTGCCCCTTAATGATTTTGATGTATTGAAGACTTATAGATTAAGGGACTAATATGTTTGTGAGTGTACACATGCTCTATAAATCGATGAGGAGTTTAACATTTACAGTGAAAGTCGACCCCTAAAAATGAATGTCTTCAGCCGAAGACTTTGTTCTTCTGAATACTTTAAAAGTGATGAAATTGGTGTGACCTTGAAGACTTGGATATTCATGCGAGGATTATAAAGCGTGAAGACTTTTGTTTTCGTAGTTTCATTTTCTCTTTCTTGAGTCATAGAAAACACGCACTGTTAAAGGGGATCGAGGTAATACCAAGGAAACTGATTTCCATGTGATGCTCATCTCAAAATCCTACACCTACCCAATACTTTTGAGTGAAGCCATTGAAAATCTCATATCAGTTCAGTCAATTTTTTCAGTGACAGAGACGAAGATCTTCTGGTCTCTGAGGAATTTGTTCTGACTGAGGAGTTAGGAATTCGCCAGTGCGAATTGCCTACACAATGAGGAACATGATAGCCCTGAGGAATTCGAACCTCAAATCCGACCGTTGATGTGCTACGCGTCAGCTGTCCTAAAATATCCTACCACCTAACGGTCATATATCCTTGAAGGGCATTTATGTCTTATCATGTCGGGCTGCTCCCTAGCCTACAAATAGCCGCCCCCTACAACCACTAGCTGGTTAGCTGCTCCGAGAAAACTGACACTTGTCATTTGAAAGCATCCCATCCTCCGAGGACTTTGAGCGAAAATCGTCAAATGAGGAAACCCCAATCCCAAACCCAAACCTACAAACCCAAAGTGATTGAGCATCACTGAAGAGATTGTTCCTGCATGGAACCGACGCTTGTTACCTTCGAGGACCGTATATCCTCCAGACGGTTAGGCGTCATGGCCTGAGCATCAAAGAGGAATTGTGGATCGCCGAGTGACCTAGTCTGTGAAGGTTTAGAAGTCACCCGTGAAGATTTACCACGAGTGTCGGGCGAGATCTGCGTGATCTTAGCTCAAGGAGAATACAGTGAGGACTGTGTGTCCGGGACTGTGTGTCCTCGAGTTTAAATACTCAGCCGCTCCAACCAGACGTACAACTGCCACAACAGTTGGAACTGGTCGACCAAATCATTATCTTCACCAAGCCTACTGGTTCTATTTTCTCAACCCTTTCATTTCTTCATTCATGTGTTGATAAACCTGATCATTACTGTTTGAAGACTTTGACTGAAGACTTACTCTAATTCTTCAACCCTATTTATTCAGTCACATTGTCTTCAGCCTGTTTATCCTATGTTTACGCTTCCTATACTATGTGTTTATCTTTCATTTCATCATGATGACTATGCTATCGCTCTGTGATGCTTATACATGAGTACTTATTCCGCTGCTATTAGTTCTTTGCTTAGGAATTTCCTCACCCTGAAATTCATTAGTGAAGAATTCATAAAAAATCACCTATTCACCCTCCCTCTAGTCGACTTAATGCACTTTCAATTGGTATCAGAGCAAGGTACTCCATTGTTCTGTGTGATTTTGGTTTAACCACCTGGAGTTTTAGTTATGTCGACTGCAGGTATGATCAAGGTCTCGGCTAGGTGTCCTACCTTTGATGGGACGGACTACCCCTACTGGAAGAACAAGATGCGCATGCATCTTGAGGAAATTGATAACGATCTCTGATATGTTGTGGAAAATGGTGTTCCCTCAGTCACTCCGTCTGTGAATGCTGCTGATGTGAAGAGATTCAAGCAACTCGATTCTCAAGCGAATAATAACATATGTGGCCATCTGAGCAAAGGACAGTACGGCAGAGTGAGTGCCTTGGAAACTGCGAAGCTGATTTGGGACATGTTGTCCAAGGTCAACGAAGGAGTCTCAACTCAGCGTGACTTCCGAGTTGATGTTCTTCGCAATCTCTTCAACCGCTTCAACAGACTCGACAATGAAAATGTTCAGCAAA